GAATTCTTAATTATAAAGACATTTCTGTGGGAGCAAAAGTCTGTGTGTGTGTGTGTGTGCGTGTGTGCTAAAGACAAACATACCTGCTTCATCATAGGATACAGTCAATTTTTCTAGCATTTCTCGGTCAATTGACAGAATCTGCTGTTCAAGGATGGTCTGGTAAGACAGAACACTATTTTCTTTGTCCTTCTCGTAGTCCTGAAGATGCTGTTTAAGGGCCTCTGGGAGTCTCGATTTTACATATTCAGCTGCAGTCTGCAGTTAAAACAGGTAGAGAACCCCATTAGTATTTCTCATCTTAGGCTTTTCACTTCCCCATGAAACCAACCCTTTAGACAAGCATATCCTTGTCATCATCATTATTGGATTCCACTCTACCAAGTACGATGAATCTTCAAATAGAGAGACTCACAGACCTGTAGGAATTTTCTCTTTTTTTTAAGATTTTATTTATTTATTTTATTTATTTGACAGAGAGAGACACAGAGAGAGAGGGAACACAAGCAGGGGAAGTGGGAGAGGGATAAGCAGGCTTCCCGCTGGGAAGGGAGCCCCATGCGGAGCTCGATCCCAGGACCCTGGGACCATGACCTGAGCTGAAGGCAGACGCTTAACCGACTAAGCCACCCAGGCGCCCCCTGTAGGAATTTTCTACCAGGTTTAAAGGTATGAAAGATGATGGGGGACTTGGTTTGGCATAGAAAGAGTTAATACTCAGCGTTTCAACTATTCCACTGAACTCTGAAGGCCCCATGATGGTAATTTTACTGGATATAAATCTGACTTGCCCTTGTCTAGAATGCAGAAGCTAGTCACTCATCCCAGCAGTGAACCCACCTAAGCTATGACATCCACATCTTTGCTTTGATGTTCTGTGCTCATTATGCTTCCATGGGAACTCTTGTGAAGTGAATAGAAAGGAGAGTCCTCTGTTGGGGCTGATAATGGAATAATGGGATAAACAGAGAATGAAGAGATCTAAGACAATGATGCCCCTTAACCTGAAAAAAGAACTGTTCACCAATGTCTTGACCTTTATATATATATATATATAAAAATATATATATATGTTATTTATATAATTTATATATATTTTTTATATATAAAAAATATATATATAATATATATATATAATTCTGAACTTGTTTTCTCTCTGCTATACAATCCGCCCAAAGCACTCCTAACTAATAACCTCTGAAATTACATGCAGTGATTTTTCAACCAGGTAAGCATGCTTCCATTTGAGGTAGTAAGAAGGCATGTGTACTTTGAAAAAGAGCTCCCCAAAGATTCTGATACGCTCTGCTGGTGGGTTGGAGAAAGCATACTCTTCTCCCTCCCAGTTGAGAACCACAGTTAAAAGTTAAACAGAACTTTAAGAGAGAAATTAAGTGACAGAGAGGCATGTATGAATCAGGGGAATTCTGAAATTCTTAAAACATCTCTCTTAGGAATGCCAAGAGTTTGGCATCTCCTTGCAGAGCAGTCCTGCATCATACACATAGGGTTTGAAGTTGATAAAATAAAGGCATATGTATATTGTTTAAAATTATACTCACAAGGACTTGAAAATGTAAATAAAAGAAACTGTTAAAAAGGACTGTCTCTGAGATATGTGCCTGGAAGACCCATCCACATAGTTTAATATTTTTTTAAAAATTCCTGTACAGCTATTAATTGCATAATTTAAGACAAGTTTGAGTTAAACACATGCACAGACATATATATGGTACAGGCTCATCAACAGGAGTTTGTTGTAGGTTTTTTTTTTTTTTTCATTTATCAAACAGTATGCTCTATAACCTTTGGGGAAAAATGAGATAGGTCTATATGTACCGACAAGGAAGAACGTCATGGTATTACTGTTAAGGTTAAAAAACGAAGTCACAGAATACCAGTGACAGTATATTCTTTTTATGTAAAGCATACATATATGTGTATGTTGCATTCTGTAATATCATACGTGTGGGAGAAGATATTGAGGGCTATATTCCAATTGCAGAACATACTGACTTTTTACTCTCCACATTTCTGTATTGTTTCAGTGCTCTTACTATTGTAATTTTTAAGAATTATCTTTAAAATTTTTTTTGTAACATTCATAGTTTTCCTTTTAAATGTTAGCACAATTTAAGATAAAGAGAAGCTTGCCAAAACAATGACAACTGACTTCCCAGGAAAGGTCTACTGGGAAATGGTGGGGAAAAATTATAGGTCAGTTCTCAGAGTTGCCAAATACAGGACACACTTATTATTTCCAGGTATACATTTAGATTCCATAAGTCAGATGGAATTACAATTTTAAAATATCACCAAACATTGTTCAATTCCCCTGCCAGCTAGTTAGTGCAGAACAAATAAAATTATTCCATAAAATGTAAATGGACTCAGCACATTAGCACAGCATATTTAATTCTAGAATTTAATAACAATTTTCTCCTGATACTGAAAACGAAGAGACACACTGCTGAATAACTATTTTTAGACTCATACTACCTTGCTATTCAGTTTAACATCTATCTGTAATTTTTTTCCTTGGAGATAATCTATGAGGTACCAGAAGTAATTTAAAACATACATTTTACAAATATTGGTATACTCTATTATTTAAAGCATACACATTTCCTTCCAATTGTGTCTACCGATTTGCTTTTCTAATTAAAATCATGATATAGGTCTTTGAACAGAGTCTCTCTATTTTTTTTTTTTACTATGTTGGAGTTATATTTTGGCATTTCATTTTTTTTTTTTTAAAGATTTTATTTATTTATTTGAGAGAGAGGATGAGAGGAGAGAGAGAGCACATGAGAGAGGGGAGGGTCAGAGGGAGAAGCAGACTCCCTGCCGAGCAGGGAGCCCGATGCGGGACTCGATCCCGGGACTCCAGGATCATGACCTGAGCCGAAGGCAGTCGCTTAACCAACTGAGCCACCCAGGCACCCTGGCATTTCATTTTTTTAAAAGATTTTATTTATTTATGTTAGGGAGAGAGAGAGAGCAGGGGGAAGAGCAGAGGGAGAAGGACAAGCAGGCTTTGCGCTGAGTGTGGAGCTAGACACGGGCTCCATCTCACCACCCTGAGATCATGACTTGAAACCAAGAGTCGGATGCTTAACCAACTGAGCCACCCAGGTGCTCCGCCATTTCATTTCTAAAACAGTATAATATCATGTATAGAGTTCTTTCTGTTGGGAAAGATTCTCAAGAGGAAAAGAAAGAAAGCAACTCTAGCAAAATAGTAGATTCCGTCAAGATATTTCAAAAAATCACCTTTATACTGAGGTGATACTCTAAATGTATTCAAATGGCAGTTAAAACCTTATGTTAAAAATATGAACCTTTGTTTAAAAAGAAGCTGTCATACAAATACCATATGATCTTACTTACAATGCAATCTAAAACAAAACAAAATAAACCTGAACTCAGAGATGCTGAGAACAGATTGGTGGGGTGAGGGTGGACAAAACAGATGAAGGTGGTCAAAAGGAACAAACTTCCAGTTGTAAATAAGTAAGTCTTGGGGATATCATGCTTTGCATGGTGGCTCAGTTGATAATACTGTATTGTATATTTGAAAGTTGCTAAGAGAATAGATCTTAAAGATTCTTATCACAAGAAAAGAAATTGTAACTATGTGTGGTGGCAGATGTTAATTAGGCTTATTGTGGTAATCATTTCATAATACATACAAATACCAAATCATTATGTTGTATACCTGAAACTAATATGTCAATATACCTTAATACAAAACCAGGCTGTCATCTTATTAACTGAGATTATAATTATTCCACAAGTAATAGATAATGCAAAGAAAAATTAAATTTAAATTTTCACTGGAATTTTTAAAAAGTGAAAAATGAAATTAAAATTTAATTATCTATTCTTTAATCAATGAGAAGTACTACTGGAAGTTTAAATCCTAAATTGCAGGTTCTTATAATCAACCATGTCAGAAACAATAATATTGTTATCATTATCAGTATCTTGCATTTGTGTGGTACTTTATACTTTTCCGAGCAATTTATGCTGTTACCATTCTGTTTGTTCAGTATAACTTTGAGTGAAAGTAGACAACTTACTGGTTTTGGCCAGTCCTTCCCATCCTTCAAAGTTTGGCTCAAATGCTACAAATTCTCTTAGCGAACACACCTAATAGCAGCCAACAGTCTTTCAAGTTTTTATACAGGTATTTGTATAGGGGTAAGTATTTCAGTTCCCCAGTTTGGCTGACATAAGAACTATATTTTATACATCCTTGAGTTTGCCCAATATGTTTCAGTGCTTTGCACCAAAGAAGTTTATTATCTTGACTATATCCAAGATTCAGGTACTTTGAGATAGCTTTTTTAGCCTAATGACCGGTATAAAAATCTTCTGACAGTTCATAATTATTTGCCTGCAATCTGAACTTGCTTTCATGATTCCAGATAGAGCCTAGGAGTCATTTTCCACTGGCAAATGGTACTATACTACATTTCCTCTTTAATTATCATCGATGCCATTATTTTAGGAAAGCAAACAGCTTAAACCCAAATCATTTATATGCCAAAAGAGCAAATTATGTACTTCACATACAAAACTGTATATAAAGCTTCATGTAATGTGCTCCTCTTAATAATTGTTTGATTGCCTCTCTCCTTGTCTTTTTTAATTCATTCAGCAACGGGCTTGCTTCCGCTAGGGACCCTCAGAGGAGTCACGTGTACCGTACCTCAGAACTGGGCCCCTCAGCTAAGGGTTGCCTTGCAGAGGTTCACTCTGCCTACAAGTTCAAGTTTGTGCTTGTTCAGGTGGCAGCAGCAAAACCTCAGGGCAGAGAGTGGAAGATGCATAGTTCCCAGGTTCCCCAGGTTACACCTGAGCAGATGGTCAGCAGCTGGAAAGATGAACTGCAAGCTTGCGAGGCAGGACACAAAAGGTGTCCAGCCAGAGTACCTTCTTACAGAAGCTGTATACATGCCAACTTCAGTCTGGAAGACAGTAAAGGGCCAGAGGAGACCCTGTAAAAAACACTCCAAAGGATAAAAGAAAAGCAGGATGACTACAGGTTTAAATTTGGGAACCTCGTAGGTAGAATGCTGATATCGGCCGTTAGGCTAAAAAACTATTTACTATTACAGTGGTATGTTCTTTAAGAAATAATCAATATATATGAAAGAATGGGGAGGGTTGCAAAGTATTTTAAACACTGCTAAATGCTTCACAATTCATCTTAAAAACCTGTCAGCCAGCCAATTCCAACTTACTGAGTGTGT